GGGGGGGGGCGGGGCAATCAAGGCACACCCAGGATGGGGGGCGGAGGCCCAGGTTCAAGTGCGCGCCCGCGATCGTCGACTGAAGCTGCCCCGCCGTCAGGTTTGGAAACGAGGTGGTGAACATCTGCAGCAGCAGCTCGCGCACGTACTGGCCGTTTGACGTCGCCGCGACGGAGCCGTCCTGCGGCCAAAGCGGCGAGGTGATGGCGCCCGACTCGACGGCGACAAAGAGGTGCGCCTGCGAGGGGCGGGATGCGGGTCAGCCCGGCCTCGTTGGCGGCGGCGGGGGGCGAGGGGGATGAATGGCGAAGAGGGTGGCGCGCGCGCCAGGATCATCGCTTGCAGCTTGAAGCCCGGCTTGTGCAACGTGTCCGTCAGCACGGCAAACACGTCCTGCAGCAGCCCGAGGTAGTACTGGACATAAAAGGCGTTCATCACCGTCGACGCCTGCACATTCTGCAGCAGCTCGAGCAGCGTGTGCAGCCCCGTCTCCGCCACGGTCCGCTCCGTGTGCTTGAAGGCCCACCTGCGGCGAGGCGGCAAAGGGTCCGCGGCGGTTGGGCGAAAGGCGGGGCGGGGCGGGCGGGCGGGCGGGGGGGGGCACTTGATCGACTCGATGATCAGCGTGAAGTTGTCGGCCCCTTGGAGGAGGGCGGGAAAGCAGTGGTGGTTGATCGCCCGCAGCAGGTTGAAGAGGTTGGAGCGGTGCTCGGGGAAGTCCTCGAAGTTCTTCGTGATCATGTCGAGCGTCGACTTGAAGACGGCCTCAAAGACGCGCGGCACCTGCGAGGGACGCGGAGGCGCGGGCAGGGCCGTGGGCGCGGACGCTCGAAGGAGGAGGGTGGGGCATTGGGGCGGGGTGGACGGGCGTGGGGGGGGGGGGGGGGTGCGGGCACCTCCGCCGTCATCGCCGACTGCAGCTTGTTGATGAGGCAGCAAAAGAGCGAGAGCACCTCGGGGTCGCGCGCCGCCGGGATGGAGCGCACGTAGTCGCCGAGCACGGGGTCGAGCATCGGGGGCACGAACTTGGTGAGCACGAGGTCGGCGTCCTCCGACTTCTCGATGAAGGTGTCCAGCAGGCGCAGCGTCTCCTTCTTGACGGCGCGCATCGCGCGCACGCCCGAGGTGTGCATCACGTGCGTGTTCGCGGCGGCGGCGGCGATGGTCGAGTTGATGAGCTCCGAGTACGCCTTGTACACGTTGAGGAGGTCGACGTAGATGTGGCCCAGCTGCACGGTGTACGGGTGCCCCAGTGCAACCGCCACCCGCTCGTTGGTGCGCACGATGGTCTGCAGCCGCTTCATCACGTCGGGGCTCTTGAGGTTCTCCCCGTTCGTCTGCTTGGCCTGCGCGGCGCGCGGACAGGGGGAGGGGGGAAGCGGGTGAGCCGGGCGCGGGCGAGGCGAGGGCGAGGGAGGGCCAGTCGGGGCGGGGGAGCGGCCGGGGCCGGGGAGCGGCCGGGGCGGGGGAGCCGGGGGAGGGCGGTCGGTCGGGCGGGCGCGGCTGCCTGCCCGAGGATGTCCGACCCACATCTGGTTTGGCCACTCCATGAGCTTCATCAGCAGCGCGCCCCGCGTCGGCGCGTCCGACTGCGCCGAAACCATGTACCCCACCGCCTCGTAAAAGACGTGCACCTGCTCCGGCTCTAGGTCCGAGATGACCCGACGCAAGGTTGACCTCGAGCTCTTCCATTAAGGGCATGGCCTCCCCCACCTGCAGGATGAAGAAATTTGCGGTGGCCCTTTTTCCAAAATCTTGAGGAAAGGAGTCTCACCCCAGTCCTGGACCCCCGGTGTCCCCTTCTTGCTTTAAACTCTTAAAAATTTGTTTACCCA